GAAATGTGCTGAGGACAGGAGCTGTTCTCACCCGCAGGAGCCGTTGTACTCATACTTTCCCTGGTTCAACTGCATGGCCAGATCTGAGAGAGAAAATGAAGGAAATGTTTATAAATTCTCAGATATCAAATCTTAAAACAATAACAACAAAGTTCATTTGCATTGGTTTCTGTGGAGCTTATTCTTGGCTGGAAGAGTTTTTAATATTTGTCCTCTCTCTCTCTCTCTCCCCCCCTTTTCTCCCGCCATCACAGAAGCTCCACCTCTTGTGTCACCCCCCTCCAGGCTCGCACATGCTCATCTCCCAGCAGGCCATATGGTCGGCCCCCCGTTTGCCTCTGGCCATGGGGCAGCAGCTGTTTTCCAACAGGCATCACTCACTGTATAGGTGTGCATGTGGCAGTTTATGAAAATGTGTGTATGTTCATGCATGCATAAGCTGATCAACCTGAACAATTTGCAGAGACGAGGAACTAATTCATGTCTCACAGGTGGGTGCGTATGCAAGACAATGAATGGACCAGATTTTTTTTTTATGTCACAATATGGCAAATGCTGGATTCGCATGTATATGGTAGACATCAAGCAATGTGGCAAGAAACAGCACGATGGTTTCTGCGTTCTCCTGATTTGCTTATGACGGTATCTGTGATGTTGCACCGACTCGAATGACTCAAACACGACTCACTCCAAACCAGAGAACCAGAGACCTTAATGTGTTCAGTTCTCATTGGAACATTTATTTTATCCAAGATAATCTCCAAATACTCACATGTTGCTGTCGGGTATTTGTTTCCATTGTATGGAATGGTAGAACTTTCAGGCCAAATATTTGCAAACCGTGGCCATCAGCATGGCTTGATAATACTAGCAGTACGTGAGAACATGTGTTTTGGTGAACTGACTATTTTAAAGTAACATTTCAATCAAAAACGGATCCTCGGTATGTTTAGATGTGTATATTTGATTAGTGGGAGTGAAGGTTTTTGATTAGTGGGTGTGTTCATTTAGACAACAGCAGTAGAAGCTTTCAGTGTGACGTATGAATATGTGAGGTCACAAGTTCACTGCATGCTTAGATCAGAAGAAGGTTAACGGAGTGCACATGTATCTGCTGTATGTGGAGTGCTTGATATTATGGGTGTGTTTGAGGTCAGAGGTCCCGTGCTGTGTGCTGTGGTACCTGGGGTCTGGAAGTTCAGTGAGACCATCTGGCAGCCTGCGTTCCAGAAGATCTGAGGCATGTAATTACTGGAGTCCACCCGGCCCCCTTTGGGGTAGATACGGCTCATCTGACGCTTGTTGTAGCTGCACTGACGCTCAGGAAAATAAAAAAAAAAAAGAGACGGAGCACGTGTGTGTATGTATTTGAGTGCTTGTGCGTCAAACAGACTGTAGGACTATTTTTAGTGTGAACAGCTTGGGTCAAGCAGTCCCATTGGGGGGGGGGGGAAAGAGAGAGAGAGACATTGTGTGAGGTCAGGTCACACTGTCCAAAAGCACACTGGCCTCTAGAGGCCTCCAGTGCTTTTCCGAGAGCAGAGTGGAAACAAACATGGCTAAGAAACATCAGATCTGACCCGCCATTCAGATCTCTTTTAGGTGACCTCAATCTATCAAAACTCTAATTTTATTATACAGCTACGAACATGTAGCTTCACGGTGTCAACGTAACTGTGCTCAGTGAAGAATAGTGGACATCTCAGTAGGGGTGATCATAACAAAACATTTAAGGTGGTGTTAATTAAAGCTAAAATTAAATTTTATAATTTCTCAAATGGCAATGTGAATGGAAAACAGCAGTCGCTCGTAGTGATGAACCTACTTCATCAAATATGCAGTTCCTCTCTTATTTAAGGAGCTTTTTCTTGAATATATTTCTTCGTCAAGCAATTCTATTGTTCAGATAAACGCAGCACAGCTTTGACTTTGAAGCCCAAAGGATACTTGACGAACTCTATGGCGTTGGTCTTCAGATAGCCCAGACCAACAGACTCGTTGAAAGATGACATGTTATGGTGGATGTTCCTTTCTGAAAGACGGGAGAAAAGGGAATGAAACGTGCTCGTGGCATCTTGCTTTTACCCAGAGCAACACAAAGAATACAAGTATAGAAAGGTCAGTCCCAAATTATTCATGAACGAGGAGCAGGATCAAAGTAGAAACGCATCAGGAGGAAGTCAAAGCTCACCCTCTGCCACATCAAAACTCTGGAACTTGACGGGCTGTGCGTAGTTGACCATTGCTGAGAGCCATGGGTGGATGTTAGTGGTGGCTCCTACATAAGTGTACTGAGCTATCAGAGCCTCTTCAGAGTCCTCCGCCTCTTCCACACTCTGCACAGGTCAGGTACAAACAAATGCAAGTTTCACATACATGCAAAGCTGGATCGGTCTGATGCATTTACCCAGACCTGACGTTTTTTTAACTAAGTGATTAAGTGTGTAAGAGTGTCGTGGCAGTGATGTGCTCGCCTTCTTGTTATTGTCTTGTTCAGATG